TAACGATAGTGATGTTGATATCAATGATAATGATAAAAATAACACAATTACACGATAACTGCAATGTTAGAAATAACAACGATGGTGTTGAGAACAAATCAAGTAATACTGCTTCTAGTAGTGATGATATCTGAAATCATAAAATTAATTGATTGCAAATGAAGGATAAAGTTGTGCCAGTGTATCTTTCATTTTACAGCCGAACGGATAAATTCGAATTCATCAGATTCAGATGAGCAGAGTGAGTCGTCCACGTCAGATAGCGATGAATCTGATGGAGAGTCTGATGATGATAACATTAAGGTGAATACATCACATCAATTGATCTAATCATTTTTTATGTACCTCTCGAACTTACTTATAGTCTCTTCAATAAATTTAACATGGGTGCATTTTATCGAGTCATCCTAAGAACTGACTGAGCTGATGCTCAATTGTTACAATAATTTCACTGCAGTAAAATTAAGACAGAATCAATGCAACGTGCAGTTAGATACTAAAAATTGAAGTTTCCATCTTATCCGGAACAATTACGAAAAATTTCTTAAAGACTTGAGAGTAGAGGAATGCGAAGCTGTTTTCGACATCTGCAAACAGAGCTAGTGAACGAAAAACAGATTCAGGAAAATTCTCCCATCTGCCAGTAAATTCTATCATCAGTCGTCGAACTCGTAAGAGTTTGATCATAGCAAATTTTGTTGTTACGTAATTGAATTTGTTATCACTATTTTTCATTCAGGTCAAAAGGGAAGCGGAAACGTCCGAAGATGACGATTCAGATGAAGAAGATAACGAGGTAAACCTACTTCCAAATACACCAAAAATTTACAGTATTCATTTTGTTCCTTCGAACCTCGGCCATCACCGTAATCATCAGTGAATTAAAATTTCAAATTAACTGAAAGCTCCTTTATCATTGCGAATTGCCAATTTTAGCGTGGTCTTATATGCGCGTTGTGTTTGAATCAACGTGAAGCGGTTAGAAATGAAGAGGTGATTCAGTGTGATCGGTAAGCTGTCTCA